CAAATAATTATATTAAGAAAGGAAAAAAATAGAATGGAATGAATATCGTCATGGTATCAGCACATTATGTGAGATAGTATTGTTAGGCTATTATGACAAGTTTATTAAATTACTTAACATGCCAAATTTGTAGAACTGAACTAGGCAAATTTTTTTGTCATACTAACCAAACTTATATTTAATGTTTGACATAACATATAAGTGTTAGAAACCGTGGAGCTCAATGCACTATGCTTGCGAGGTTACTTTGCTTTGGAGAGTCACTCCTCTTCACAACTAACCACTCTCGTCTTCATCTTTTGTGAAGTGAAGCATCTATTTGCTCCCTCCAGTTCGTGATAAAAGCTTCGGATGGATCTCCTTGGGTTTAGTAGTCACGCTTTGAGTTCTTCTTCAGTTTCCGCAGGATAGAGGAAGGTTTCCTCAGGGCAGAGGAAGAGAAGTGCAAGGAGGAGCAGTTCCTTGCGGTAGAAGGAAGAATAAGAAAGATTAGGAAGATTGTTCTCCCTAGGCTTCTTCTTGGTGGCTTTTGGCAGAAGAGAAATTGAGTTTATTTCTCTTGTAAGTTTGGCTTCTTCCTCGTATCTCGTTGTAGAGTTTTCTTTAGTGTATCTTGGTATAGAGAGAGAAGAACAAAGAGAGAAGAAAAGGTATAGAGAGAGAAGAACAGAGAGAGAAGAAAAGATAGAGCTACGAAGGATGACAGATTCCTCTTGTAAGTCGAGGTGATCGACTGGTGTAAATTTTTCAAGTAGTAAAATCCTCTGCAACTCCGTGGATGTAAGCAATTTGTCGAACCACGTAAATCTAAGTGTTCCACAGTGTTGTTCTTTTTTTGTGTGATTTTTCTCGTTCTATTTTTTTATCGTTCTCCTGTTTGATTTATAGATATACCACATCAACTGGTATATCTAGATCTCGCAACAGCAACAACTAATATCGAAGCGTGATTTCAAATCTAAGGAAGAATGATGGCTGCAGATGAAGTGATGGTTTCAGGGATCGAGAAGTTTGATGACACAAATTTTGGTTATTGAAGAATGCAGATAGATGATTACTTTATGAGAAGAAACTTTATCTTCCGTTATTGGGGAAAAGACCTGAAAGATGGACGAGGTTGAATGAAATTTGTTGGATTGACAAGTTCTGGGAGTTATTCAATTGACCCTATCGAGGTAATTTGTACACCAAGTCATCAAGGAGAGGACAACTGCAGATCTCATGGGAACCTTATCAGACATGTATGAAAATCCATCAGCGAATAACAAGGCATACTTGATGAAGAAGTTATTCAACTTGACAGATGACGGAATGTGTTTTTGTTGCTCAACACCTGAATGATTTCAATCATATCACAAATCAATTGTCATCTGTGAAAATTGATTTTGATGATGAGATATGTGCACTGATCTTGTTGGCTTCATTACCAGATAATTGGGAAGCCATGAGGATAGCAGTTAGCAGTTCCGCAGGTAAATCTAAACTGAAATACAATGATATTTGTGATTTGATTTTGGCTGAGGAAGTTCACAAGAAAGATTATGGAGAGTTCTCAAGTTTAAGTTCGACACTGAATGTTGATTTCAGAGGGAGATGTCATGATAGGAACTCATATATAAGGAGATCAAAATTAAAGTTTAGTAAGTAGGCAACCTGTTGGAATTGTGGCAAGGTTGGCCACATAAAGAAGAGCTGCAGAAATCCTAAGAAGATGGAGAATGATAACACAAATGTGGTATCTGAAAAATCACAGGATGCACAATTATTCGTTGTTTATAGTTATGTTGAAGACTTGATATTGGATTCAGAGGTTTTGAATATGGTAGGAAATCTATCAGAGGCCACAGTGCATGGCAGTGATGGAAGTGAAGAAGAGAGTGGATCTAAGGTTCTCATTCCTATTGTTCCACATACAAATGTTGAAGAACCACAAAGCTATGAAGAAATCTTGCAAGATGAAAGTTCGAACAAGTGGGAGCTGACAGAACTTCCACCAGGGAAGTAGACATTGCACAATAAGTGGGTGGACCAGGTGAAGACTAAGTGTGATGTCAGTAAGAGGTACAAGGCTAGACTTGTTGAAAAAGACTTTCAACAGAGACATGATGTTACTCATGTAGTGGGAGTTGTAAGAAGAGACAAGAGTGACCTAAGAAATAGCTTGGAGGTGTAAAGCTATGTGGAGCCTGCTGATATGTTAACTGACGGTGTTACTCTTGAGAAACTGAAGTTGTGCACATCTTCAGTTGGTCTTCTAAAGTGAAGATAGAGGTTTTGAGTGGCAGAGGTCAAGGATACATGTTGAAGAAAATGGCGACACTCCCAGTGGAGGATATCAGTTTGAGGGAGGAGATGTTGCAGCCTGTGTACCGGTCTCCAAGTGGGAGAATTATTAGAAACTGTGGACCCTGGTCCACTATGCTTGTGCGATTACTTTGCTTTGGAGAGTCACATCTCTTCACAAATAACCACTCCTACCTTCCTCTTTTATAAAGTGAAGCATCTCTTCGCTCCCTCCCGTTCATGATAAAATCTTCGGCTGTCTCTCCTTGGGTTTAGTAGTCACGCTTTAAGTTCTTCTTTAGTTTCCTCGAGATAGAGGAAGGTTTCCTTGGGCAGAGGAAGAGAAGTGCAAGGAGGAGCAGTTCCTTGCGGCGGAAGGAAGAATAAGGAAGAAGAAGAAGATTGTTCTCCCTAGACATCTTTTTGGTGGCTTGTGGCAGAAGAGAAATTGAGTTTATTTCTCTTATAAGTTTATCTTCTTCGGTGTATCTCAGTGTAGAGGTTTCTTCGGTGTATGTCAGTATAGAGAGAGAAGAAGAGAGAGAGAGAGAACAACAAAGAGTGAGAGATTCTTATTGTAAATCGAGGTGATCGACTGGTGTAAATTCCTCAAGTAGTAAAATCCCCAGCAACTCCGTGGACGTAGGCAATTTCCCGAACCACGTAAATTTGTGTGTTCCGCTGTGTTGTTCTTTTCTGGTGTGATTTTTCTCTTTTTATTTTTCGCTTCATCGATAGTTCTCATGTTTGATTTATAGACCATATCAACTGGTATATCTAGATCTTGTAACAACAACAATAATTGTATGTATTTGAGCGACTTCATTGAGTTATTGTAGTCAAATTATTTTGCTGAGTTTGTTGGTTTCGCTACAAACTTGTGCCCTCTAATAATATACTTGAAAAATTCTTGTCTGATCATGTGCATGAGGTTATCTCATATTTCAAGTCTTGACTCTAACCTCTTGTCGTTATTCCATATCATATCAATCTTGAATATTAGTGATTAGAAAAAGTGGCTAAGAAATGACACCAAACAAATTTATTACATTAACTTCGAATTAAAGATTGGCTGGCAATAAGAGTATTATGTTGTCTTTTGAAAAAATTTATTCTTTGCGTATGTTAAGTTTGAAATTCATTTAATAAAATTTCTAACTAAAGTTGAATTGGTATTCAAGTTGCTTCATTCAAATTTGATTCTGGTCAAGCATGAATCCATGACTAGTAATTCCAGCTTCATCCGGTTTAAAATCAGTTACATCTTCAACCCAGAGACAGTTACATGCAAAATTATTGCACCAAACATCAAATCTAGTTTCTTGGGCTGAAGATATCAGCCTCTATTTGGTTTTCCTCTCTCTTTATTGTTGACAGATTTGTTTTGTTTATATATTTTCTAAATAATCTTTTTTGGATTAGATGATTTTTGTTTAGATTTGTTGTTGTTTGAGGTCTTTGATAAATAACTTAATGTTCTCTTTTGGAATTTTTTCCAATTGTTGAACTTCAAACTCTGAATATTACATGGTTGTTATCTGAAAATTTGAGGTTACCTTGATGTTTGCTTATGGAGCTGTTGTTTAAGCTTTATATTTACTTACTGAATTCTTCTTCGTTCATCTGGTTTTCCTTCAGGTTTTTTCTAGAAACATTTGATCTTGTAGTTGATGAAGTCGTTTTGTTTTGATGTGGCTAAACTAAAGAATTAGCTGAAGTCTCTGAACTTAATATCTCTGAATGTTGCATTTTCAAAAGGTTCTAAAGATGCTGCCTTAACTTATTTTCTTTGATTTTTATAGAGCCCTCTACTCGATGTTGATTTTTCTTTTTTTTAGTCTTTGTTATCACCTTGTGAGATTTTATTATTCATAATTTGTCTTTCATCTTTTTTTTCCTTCTTGTTTTTGTTCTATCGGACAGTGTTATCCCGTATTTCTTTTTTCTTTTGGATTAAAATCTGGGTTAAACCCTCACTTTCTCAAAAGAAAAAAAAAATAAAAGAAAAAAATATCTAAGTTTCTAACACATTCAAATAAACTTTGAACATAACCGCAATATAATTTCTACAGGCTTCAAAAGAAGAGCTGTTTTAGATAAGGACTGAAGAAGCAAGTTTGAACAAAGTCAAATAAGATTGTAAATTATTCATTATATTGTTCAAATTATGATTCCAAAATGATTTAATTATGTTTAGAATAAAACTCGAAGATAACTAAGATGTAATTAAGTATTGATCAATGATGATTCTAACAGGATTCAATGATTATTGGAACAAATCAGAGACACAGTCCAACATAATATAATACAACGTAGGTTTGACCAAATTTAAAAATTCAATTGAAAGTTGAAAAAATCAGCCTTAGAATAAATGTTGGTCAACACCAACGTTAATATCAGCTGCTAGTTTTATTATTTTATTGATTCAATATCAAAATCTCACACGCCCTAAAATAAAAATTATAAAAATAATCTTGGTTGTAAGCCCATGAAAGCACGTGGACACAGGTGGACTTCTCAAACTTCTTTAGCTTGAGCAATGGCCTCTCCTCACAGCCAGTTGTAAGCCCATCTCAACCATATTCAAGAAAGGAAGATTGAATCATTCAAACTTATCTTAAAAGGAAATGGAAGAGAAGCATCCGCTTCTTGCCTATAAGTAGCGACAGCCAAATCAAAACTCTATAAACAGAAATTTAGTCAATCAGCGCAAACATATGGCGATTCCTACTTTTGTCATAGTCATGATTGTTGTCATGTGCTGCATGATCCTTTTGGTCCTCGTCTTAGCTGCATGCCAACACAAGAAAGTGAAGGCTCGGCCGGGCCACGGCGGGCATGCGCATCATGGGCTTGTCGGCGGCGGCAGAAGACATGATGTTGAGCTTGGGCTGGCCGCTGGTGCCGGAGCTGGTCTTGCTATGGATGGTGGTGGCGGCGGCGGCGGCGGTGTAGATGGGTGTGGCGGTGTCGGAGGAGGCGGGGATGGTGGTGTTGGGGGAGGAGGTGGCTTTTGTGGAGGTGATGGGGGAGGTGGTGCTGGTGCTGGTGCTGGTGCTGGTGGAGGTGGGGGAGGTTTTGGTGGAATTTGATGATGTCGTTAATGACAACTTTATTATGAATGGGTGATTTAGAATAAATTCATAAATGTTTTTGTAATAATTAGTGGAGTTAAAATGGTTTAGATGGATAATTGCACGTTTAGCTGGTACATACTGTAAAACTGTTTCTTAGTTTTTTTAGTGATTAATTTTTCATATTTATTTGTTGAAGTTTGGGGAAAAGCTTTCTTGTTGTGGTTGGCGTCTGTGATTTGCCCTGAAAGGGTTTTTTGTTAGTGCTTGAATCTAAGAAATCAGGGCAAGTAATCATGACATTTTTTCTCTTAATTATTTACATAAATACCACACATTTCTATGTATTTACATATCTAACACAAAAACTTTTTATATTTACACCCACGCTATCTTTCTGTGGAAAGAGAGCTACATGGATAAGAATTACGCGGTAAGTACGTAAATGCGCCATTTTAATTTGTTCTGGGATGGCAAATGTCTATTATTTCTTGTAACTTTTTTATTCAAATTAAATTAATTATACTATTCCATTAATTAATAAATACTTAGGAAAAACACGTAATGTCTACCTTTTTTTCAATTAAATATACATGGGAAGCAGTCGCCCTGTGTTTTGGCGAATAATTCAGACTAAAGAAATTATGGCGGCCGAACTACTTTTTTGAACTTGTTTTTACAGCTATTTATTTATTTTTAAATAAATTCTTTTTTCTTGAGGAGTTTCATGCATACCACAAAATTCCTATGTATCTACATATGTAACAAGTAAATATTAATATTTATATTTATAGCATCCAAATTTTTCATGTCAAATAAATACTACTATTATTAACAATTAAGAGCTGGAAAAATGATATTAAAATAAAAATTAAATTTATGTATTAAATATGTAAATACAAAGTAATCACGTGGTACACATGTAATTATGTAAATTGAATTTATTAAAATAAATTTATAGAATACATAATTTATTAAAAAAAATTTATTATTTATTTAAATATTATTTTCAATAGACATTATTATTTTTGAATGAATTGAAAAAATGGCAGAAAATAAGTATAAGTTTAATAATTTCTCAGTTTTTTACACATTTCATTATATTCAAATAAATCTTAAGAATTTAATTTGTACAAAGTAATGATGTGAATAATTCTATGACCATGGGAAAACATAAATTTAGGACAAGTTTGATTAAAGCACAAGTTTACTTTTATAAGTGCTTAGTAAGTTTAATAATTCTCATGTATTGACATATTTACATAATTCTTATGTATTTACATATCTAGCAGACTAACTTCTAAACTTTCATATTTACTTGTATCGCATTCAAAATTTTAATATCCTATAAAGAGTAATATTATTACTAAATTATCTTTTCATACATAAGTTTATGACACAAAAAGTTATAAATATAAATAAAAATATAAAATTTTGGGTGTTAGACATATAAATTCATAAGATTTATGGGGTATGTAATTTTTTCCTTAAATTTAAGGGTTCTGACTAAGTCAAAATCAATCTCTTCTAGCAATTATTAACTTTAAAAAAACTTTTTAAAAAATGGATGAGCAATTTAACACTTAAGATAAAGATCTTCTAGTACCTTGAATATGAAGTTCGTAACCATAAACCTATTAAATTTAAATTGACAGGATAGATTCCTATCGATTTTGCTCCTAGTGTCATTGATGATATTGAATTCTATGTATCTCATTCCTAAACATTATCTAATTCACTACAAAAGAATAATAGTTTTTAACATCTCAAATTTCTCCAAACCAATTCATCCTAAAATAGTTATCTTTAGATTTAATGTTTTCATTTAGAAGTAGTTGTTAGATTTTAAATTTAATATTTTCATTTAGGAGTAGTTAAAAATCACTTACATTGAAATTTCAAACCAAGACCTAAAAGTAATAGATTAGAATTAGCCTAAGAGATTTCTTATCTTGCTTCTCTGTGGGATTAATACTGGGGTTTTCAAAGAAAATCCTATATTACTTCAAACGATATGTATAATACTGGGGTTTTTAAAGAAAATCCTATATTACTTCAAACGACATGTATACTTGCATAGAACCCCTAGTGTGTGAACTATTTTCTATATTTTATAACATTTCAATTTTTCACACCAACCGCTAAATATAAATTGGTTCAAATTTTTTGACATATTTTGAAAGATAAATTACTGTGTAATTGCGGGTCGGGTCAGTGTTAAAATTAGGAATTGTAATATGGTTGTGACAACAACATAATAATACTCATTTAGCCTCTTTTGAGTGCATAAGTATGATTCAAATTTAGGTAATTGTTTCTGTCTGCCACTCATGAAACTCCTAATTCAAATCATATTGATATGCATCTCTCTAAATTGCATTGCCTCATGACTTATCTTTCATAGTCATTAACACAATATGAAAATTCTATGTTATTTCGCCCAAGCTCTTTCGTGTTCTAATGGGTCACAACAAATTTTAACAAGTTTTATTACCAATACAACATGTAAATTAAGTGTAGATATATACTCATCACATGAAAATAAAGATCAATTCAAAGCGATTACAACCTTACAAATCTAACCTATCTATCACAAGAGAAAATATAAGAAATCTACTCACTACATATGATAGACATCAAAGAGAACTTCATTCAATCCAAGCAAATTAAGCAAATTTGCTTACAACAATAATCAAATATGATTAAACACAATAGCTAGCTTCTATCATCTGAAAAGAGAAGCAAATTCCACCAAACGATGTTTTCGACAGTGCTACACAAGCTGCTGTCTTAAATCCCTTACAGATTCTCTCAAATTCCCTTCTCAAATCTTACTAAAACAATAATTCTTACTCATACCAGCTGTCCTTGGAGAATTTCAGTACTTGAAACTTCTTCCCTAATCGTAAGATTGCTGAAAATGCCCATATGAATGGTCATCAACTGTAAAATAATTCCCGGACTTGTGCAGAAAGTAACTGTATGAACTGCAAGATCTAAGCGCCTAGATTGCGACCCCTAAGCGTTGTGCTATCTGTCCGTTTGAAAAGCCCTGCCGGCTAGGCGCCCAGTACCTGACACCAAGGTATTCAACTACAACACCTTGGCACCCAGAACTGGGCGCCTAGGCGCCAGATCACAATCAGCACATTTGCTTCATTTGGTTCTATTTCGCACCAATTCAGTCCAAATTTGTTCTAGTACTTCTAGTTGTTACTCCTGCATCAAAAACATAAAAATACGTTCCATTAAAATTTCATTTCATTCAAAAACTTGTATAAAATAAAGAAAAAATTAAATATATCCAACGACATGATAAGTACGACAATTTTGGGTTAAGGTGCGTCAGACTAGAAGTTCATTCTTCTGTCTTTCGGCTCACCCAACTTTCCTTTTTCTTTGCCAAGTGGTTTAATACTTTGTAATCTATAAAACACAATACAACTTTCTATGGGTCTACCTCTGCCTTTCTTAACATTAGCTGAAGCTAAAATATCTATTCTTCTAACCGGATCATCAGATGGTCGATGTTTAATGTGGCCAAACCATCGAAGACGACTTTCTAAAATCTTGTCCGCCACTAAAGTTACACCAACCCTATCAAGGATATATTCATTTCGCATTTTGTCTCTAAGTATCAAGCCACTCATCCACCTAAGCATTCTTATCTCAACAACACTTTATGCTTCTCTTTTAAAGGCCAACATTTTGTGCCATAGATCATTGCAGGTCTCACCACCATCTTATAAAATTTTCCTTTCAGTTTAAGTGATATTTTTCTATCACACAATAGTCCCGAAACATTTCTACACTTCAACCAACCAACTTCAATTCTACTAATAACGTCCCTATCTATATCACCATCACTTTGGACAATAAACTTGAGATAATCTAAAATGCTAACACCCTTTAATGATTTGACCACCCATAGTTACAACTCTGCCACTAGAGCTAATACTACTAAAACTAAAACACCCCCAAATTACCAAAGATCTACTCAAACGAAGACCTTTAGACTCCATTGTAGACCTCCATAATTCAAGTTTTTCCTAAACTCCGTCTTTAATCTTATCCACAAGAAGAATATCATCATCAAAAAGCATACACCAATGTACATCCTCCTATATATGCTAAGTAAGAGCATCCATAACTAAAGCAAAAGGTATGAGCTTAAAGTCGATCCCTAATGTAATTCACCTGAAATAGGAAAATACTTGGTCAATATTCCTGTTCAAACACAAGTAACACATCTATTATACACATCTTTAACGACTTGAATATAAGTCATACCAACACTTTCTTTTTTCTAGAATTCTCTGAAGAACTTTTCTTGCAACCTTATCATAAGCTTTTTCTAAATCAATTAAAACTGTATGTAGATCCTGCTTACTCTCTCTGTACTTCTCCATCAAACCTTTTAGTAAATGTATAGCTTTCATAGTAGACTTGCCCTGCATAAATCCAAATTGATTATGAGAAATCTTTGTAATGCGTCTTAACCTATGTTCAATTACCCTCTCCCATAACTTTAAATTGATTGACTTAACCTCCAAATTGGCATCCAATTCATGTTGGACACTCTTCATGAGGTCCCTATTGACCATTTACAGAAATCAATTTGGACTTAGCCCAAGGCTAACCCAAGCTAGACCCATGTTTAACCCAACATGACCAAATTGATTAAAGTTCAAAATTCCTTCAAATTGACCTTTCAATTGAACTCAAAATTGATTCCACCCTTCACCAAAAATCTTCACAACAATCATCTACTCTTCAACAATCATCTACACAATTTTGATCAATCAATTGAGCCAATTGACATGGCTAACCTAGCCCAAACCCAAGTTTTGGTCATTTGCACCCACTTGGACCCATACACTAAATGTGACCTAACTACCCTAAAGTCACCAAATTAACTCCACCACAACCATTAGTTGGACTTAGTGACCAGTCCAAACACCATGAAACCACCATTACAAGCTATGGACCAATGGATCCACAAATTAAGGGATTTCAAC